CACATTTCTCCTTTTCCCCTCCATACTGTCACCTCTGAAAAGAGGAGCACAGACAGGTCTGACTCTGTGGTCCCAGACCAGACCTATGGAAATCGATAATAAGGTATGATACACTGCCTAACAACCACAGAGCCTAAATGGTAAGTACTCCTGGAGTTTGGGAGGGAGAGAAAGTAGTGTCGGCCGAGGCACTCGGACTGGACAGGGCTGGGCCACGAGGTGACACCCTGGGCTGAACAGCGAGGTTGAAGCAGGAGGGAGGGGCACATTCGGCTGAGCAGCCCTGGGTGAGAGGGTAAGGTATAAAAGGGGACAGATGCGTGGGAGCTAGTTTCTGCGGAGCCTTGAACACCAGAATTATCAGGGGAGGCTTTTGAAAAAAGAGGACGTTGGAGCTGTAGGGGATACTCTGGCATACCGACTGAGCCCCTGAAGAGGTTCTAGGAAATGCAGAAGGCCAAAATCCCAGATGTTTTGCTCCCAATCTTTACGTTCCCACATTAGCCTTGGAGAGTGCTAGTTCTGAAACTCTGCTACATGCTGGGATCACCAGGGAATCTTGAAACAACAACACAACCGATTCCTGGCTCCCAAACCCAAGCATCCTGCTTAAACGGGAATGGTTTTCTTATTATTTTTTTTAATGTTTATTTTTGAGACAGAGACAGACATATTGTGAGCAGAGGAGGGACAGAGACAGAGGGGGACACAGAATCTAAAGCAAGCTCCAGGCTCCAAGCCGTCAGCATAGAGGCCGACGCGGGGCTCGAACTCACAAACCACGAGATGGTGACCTGAGCCGAAGTTGGACGCTTAACCGACTGAGCCACTCAGGCGCCCTGGGAATGGGGTTTGACCTGAACACAAGGAGTTGTCAAAACTCCCCCTGGTGTTCCTACCTGGAGCAAAGTTTGAGAACCACAGGCAAAGAGGTCATGGGCAGCCTCATCACAGTATCAAACACACGAGTACCTAACGTAGTAGTTGAGGGGCACCTGGGTGGCTTAGTCAGCAGGGCCTCTGACTCTTGATTTCAGCTCAGGCCATGATGTCGTGGCTCATGAGTCCAGCCCCGTGTCGAGCTCTGCACTAATGGCACAGAACCTGCTGGGATTCTTGGCTCTCCCTCTCTCTCTGCCCCTACCCCACTTGTGCACACACACTCTCTCTCTCAAAATAAATAAACATTTAAATAAATAAATAAAGTACTACTTTAGGAAAACCTGCACTCATTGACATAAATGGCTGGGAACGAGAGAGGAGTGGCAGGAGACCAGAAGACTCCCATTCCATAACTGGTCACCAGTATCTCCTGTCTGCAAGGCACACAACTAAAAACTTTATGGGACAGAAGCAGGAGACAGGCAGCATGAAAAGAACTGCCAGGCATCAGGGAGCTCGTCAGGTTAAAATCGACTTGACTCCAGGTCATGATCTCGCAGTTAGTGAAATGCAGGCCAGGCTCCCGGCTCTGTGCTTGCTGACAACTGAGACCTGGAGCCTGCTTAGGATCCTGTCTCTCTCTCTCTCTCTCTCTGCCCCTTCCTACTCACATACTCTCTCTGTCCCTCTCAAAAAATTTAAATAAATGTTACCAAAAAAAAAAAAGTTTTGGATACTGAGGCATTTGAAGAAAACCAAATATTCAATAGATAGGAGGAGGGCAGAAAAGTGGATGAGCTACTCAGGCCCAAGGGACACAGAGGTTAAGTGATACAGCAAGTGAGAAGACCTGAAAAGGGAAACACTTGGGAGATCCTGTTCTACACAAGCACTAGATGCAAGTTAAATTCATACACACGTAAGGTTTACTTAAAAAAAAAAACAGAGCCTGGGTAGGCATGATGGGAGTTAAGCGTCGACTTCAGCTCAGGTCACGATCTCATGGTCAGGGACCGAGCCCAGCGTCAGGCTCCTAAGGCTGATGGCTCCAGAGCCTGGAGCCTGTTCAGTTCTGTGTCTCCCTCTCTCCCTGCCTCAGTTCATGCTCTGTCTCTCTGTCCCAAAAAGTAAATAAAGCATTGAAAAAAAAAAATTAAAAAAAAAAAAACCGCAGGAAAAGAATAAGTGTGGAAGGCAGAAATGATACAAGTATGGCAGAAGGCTGGTAATTATAGGACCTGGGTGAGGAGTACAAAGGGGGTCGTTAGACTATCCCTTTCTGTATATTCTTTTACCTTCCACAACATTTTTGAGAATAGACCAAAAAGAAAAAAGAAAAGACCAACCAGAATACAAAACCGTTAAGGTCTGTTTAACTCTAACTCTTCCAGGAAGGGTGCATCACCAACACACATGTTGCCCTGGCAGGAAAGCTAATTAGCTTTAGCAAAGAACCTGTTCAGAGACAGTCATCCTTCTATTAAAAAGCGAGCTTACTGCTTGCTTTGATACGCCGGTAAAGCGGTCACGGCTCTATGCCATGACTGACCAGCCGAATACCATTCAGGAATAAAGCATCATTGATGTACGATTGTCAACAGCACGAACAGAAGGCTGTATGTAGCCAAGTCTGTTTTTATAAGGTTTTCAAAGTCCCGTTCCATACTCCCTCCTACCCTCCTGACCAGCAACCCACTTTGCAACGGAGCTAAGCTACCAGCACAGCAGAGTTTCCACCTGTTTCATAGTCAACGGACAAATGAGAAAGCCACGGAATCAAACTACCCGAGAGCAAAGGGAAAAATCATAAATGCATTTTCAGCATGAACTGGGGAAGGGGCTTGGGGCCCAAGGACAGCTTCCATCAATCTAAATGGATTATCACCTCTGAGCTCTATTTCCTACCTTATGTGTAAAGTGAGGGGGTCAGCTTCCAGGAAGTGGAGGGCAACTTAGCAAAACGTTATCAAGGGCCTTAAAAATGTTCATATCCTTGAACCCAACAGTTCACTTCCAGGAAGTGAGCCGAGGAAGTAAGAGATGGAACAAAGGGGCTGTCTCTGCAACAGTGAAACAAAACAAACTCTAATATTACAAAGAGGTACAAAAGAGGGAAATTAATTATGGTTATTCATATGATGCACTGTTATGTACCATTAAAAAAATCCTGTTTTTAGTAAATACTTAATGACACAGGGAAACGTTCCCTGCTTTGTCAAACATGCAGGTTTCCCTCACTATCCAAAAGTAGTCTTCCAATGAAACCTTTCATAAGGCAAAATGGGGTATAAAGCAAAAGGGCAATGACCACTAATTCATACAGAAAAATTTTTGAGCTTTCTCAGACCCCCAAAAATGACCTCTCTTGGTTTTTTCTGATACCTTAAGGCACATCTTGCTAACAGGTGCACAAAATAAACCAAAAAAAGCGCACAGGTTTTCACAGACACAGCTCAAAGCTATCGTAGTCTGATGCTGTCATGCTGAGTATAGCTCCCAGGGAAGGAGCTTGGGGGGGGGTCACTCTACTGGTTAGGGTGCACAATGCCCCTAAGACAGCTTGCTGCAAAATAAACGCTGAATGCTATTTTCGCTTTCCGCATTTTTTTCATAAAAGCAAAAACCCCCTTCAGATTTCTTTTGGTTAGAGAAAACAGGAACTAAGGTAGGTCTTTCCTAAAAGCAAAGTGGCATAAGGTGAAGTTTCAAAAAGCCACGGACGCTTGTATATGTATCATTATATGTACATACACACGCATATTATATAAACTAATGTATTCATTTTAAAAATCAATAATGGCTGGCTATCATTCCAAATGACAAAGTTGAAGATGTTTCTCCCCTCTGCAAATATTCAGTACTTCCGAAATTTTCTATCAGGGTGTATACAATTGTTAAAACTTGGTGGGAAAAAATTAGCGTTAAATCAAGTAAGCCATTGGCCAGGTCACCCAGATCCCAGAGCGTGCTAACTTTGATCTTGCACACCATTCTCCTGGTAGCCATCCTGCCTACAACTTCAACAATTATAAATTCTACCAGAAATACTAACCTAAAACATAAAGTCCAACAAGAACTTTGCAGAGCTATATAACACGCTTTTCATTATGAAACAAAAAAAGTCAAGTCCGATATGCCATAGCAATATGTTCCTTGGGGTCAGTACTTGTGTCTGTCGTCGTTCAGTCCTTGGGACTTAATTGTGGAGGGAATGACCCTTCCCAGCTCTTGTTCTGCTGCAGAAGTTGCAGCAGAGGAAAACAGCCTTCGTGACGCTGACTCAGGTAAGGGTTAAATGCCCTATAAACAAATGCGTAATTTCCCTCCCTGATTCCGGTAAGTTTTTTTGAAGGGCCCACAAGATCTAAGTCCTAGAGCCAGCTGGTGACTTAACTGGCGGGTGACCATGCATTCTGAACCTCGGCTTCTCCGCCTGTGAAGTAAGGGGCCGGGGGGTGGGGGTCACCAGATGGACCGGCATTGCACGAAAAGGTTACTTGGACTTCACTTTCAACGTTTATTTTTGGGACAGAGAGAGACAGAGCATGAACGGGGGAGGGGCAGAGAGAGAGGGAGACACAGAATCGGAAGCAGGCTCCAGGCTCCGAGCCATCAGCCCAGAGCCCGACGCGGGGCTCGAACTCACGGACCGCGAGATCGTGACCTGGCTGAAGTCGGACGCTTAACCGACTGCGCCACCCAGGCGCCCCAGGACTTCACTTTCCCCAGAGTCCAGGGAAGCCAGCACCAGCCACCTCCACAGCCAGGACGGGCGGGAAATCTCCCCAGATGCAGCCGAGAAGGGCTGAAGGCATGTTCCGGGGTTCGGCACAAGCCCGCAACTCCCCGGTGTCCCTCCCCCCATCCGGGGCCGCCCCAGCGAACACCGAGGGTGGCGGGACACGGCAGGGTCTCCCTCGGCTGGGGAAGGGGCCCCGCTGCCCCTCCCCTCTTCCCGAACGTTCCCCGGCCCCAGAGCCTGGCGACCGCCGGCTCCCCGGAATCCCGGCCTCCCTCGCGAACCCCTCCGCGCGGCCGCCCTCACCCCGGGCTCACCAGGGGTCCGGGGCCATCGCGCTGTCTCCGCCCGCCTTCGGACACTTCCTGCTCGAGGCAGCTGACTACGGCGGCCCGCGCGGCTCACACCCCGCGGTTCGGCCCGGGCGCGACCGGAACCTGCCGTTTCCCCCGGTGCGTGTGCGCTGCAGCCTCCAAGGTAGGGAAGCCACCCCCCCAGCAACCCTTAGGTCGGCGCGAACAGCCCGGCGCAATTAAAATAAAACTTTTGGACAAAAATCGAAGCATTTTCCCGGGAAGGTGGAAGCGTCTCAAGCCCTCCGGCAGTTACCCGAAGTTGCAACCCGCTTCAAACAAAAAACACACAAAAACTGGACTGTGGGCATAGTTGCACAGCTGTGTACATTAACTAAACCTCAGAGTGAGTTTTATACGTAAAGTTATACCTCACTAAAACTTAAAAAAAAAAAAATTGTTAATCCTGCTTCAAACAAAGGACCCAAAGAATGGCAATTATAGATTGTCTTATAGCACCCTTCCCTAAATGACACTCGGTGATTGGTTATGCGGTTACGAAAAGAGTCCGTAGGGGGAAACGTGCAGCCAGTGCCCCTAAATTTTCAGGGAAATTGGGAGGAAAAGGAGCCCTCTCTGCTTCCGCAGCGGGAGCTCAGGGCTCGGCAGCCGGGAGCGTGCGCGGGCCTGCGCCCGGCGCGCATGCGCGCGTCCGTTACCATACCGACCAGGAGACGCTGCGCGGCCCGAGGCAGGGAGAGGGAGCGCCTGCTGTCCAGGGGATGGAGAACCAAATTCCTCCCGAGGCCGAGGTGGCCGAGGTGGCCGAGCTGGAGCTTGAGGCCGCGATCGGCTTCAATGGTGAGGCCTCGAACGTGTCTGGGCGGGGGGTGGCAAGCCCTGGGGACAAGTAGCGCAAACAGGGACCGTGGGACACCGGGTGGCACCTGGAAGGCAGCGGGACCCTGGCAAGAGCCAAATTCTCTCCCGCCCCCAAGGCCCTGGGGAATCACATCCTCGCCACAGACCTCAAAGACCGGGATGGTTTCACAGCACCTAAGAGGGACAAGTGCCTGCTCACGGGACCGAAGCATGAGTAAGGGTGGTCGTAACCCATCTCCCCCTGGTCAGCTCTGCCCTGGCCCTGTGACCCCGCGAGCCCCCGCAGCTGCCTGCCCCTGGGTAACCGCGGGATGGCTGAGTCCTGTTCGGCCCCTGGGCACAACTACCAGAACCCCAGCTGATGTGCCCATGAGAATGGGCTGGGGACCGAACGTGGCAGTGAGCATCCGTTTTAGGGGATGATCTTGTCCTCTAACCCGGAGAAGGACCCTAACACTGAGGGTGTCAGGGGAGGCTGCGGAAGCGGGTAGATGCTTCTGTCCTGGAGGCCTGGCGGTTCTGCTCACACCTTATTTATGACTGCCTGATAGTTTGAACATGAAGGGGGGTAATGCTCTTTGTTTTTGTGTGTGAGGGAAGGAAACAAGCGCGTTACATTTAGAAAAAGCAAACTTTTTTTTTTAAAGTGTGTTGTGCTGCCCGAAAGTTTTAAAATTGTAATACTGCAGACCAGAACTGTCAATGGCTAAAGCTTTAGGCACATTCTGGAACCTAGAGCTTGACTCTTCGTGTTAGTTTAACAGTCTCTTACAGATAGTGGGCACTTCTTAGCACATCTGAGATATCGGCCATCTTTAGAGCTGGTGGCAAGGTCATTGGTAAAGGAAGTGAGTGACTTCTGGTGAGTGTAGGGGGTCAGTGCAGAACCTCGAACACAGCGCTCTGCAACTGAATTCATGATGTTTTGTGGAGCTCTAAGAGTAAATATATGGGGGCCACCTGGTGGCTCAGTTAGTTAAGCCTCCTACATTGGCTCACATCATGATTTATTTCCGGGTTCGTGAGTTCAAGCCGCGGTACCCGGCTCTGCAATGCCGGTGCTGGGTCTGCTTGGGATTCTCTCTCTCTCCTTCTGTCTCTCTCTTTAGCTAAAATAAACTTTAAACACTAAAAAAAAGTTATAAAAAAAGAGTAAATAGATGGTACATTATATTCCAGTGCCTTCCATGGCCATTACTAGTTATCTTGGCCTTTTAAAATGGCCCAAATTAATGGAATTATTTTTACTTCGCTGGTTTTGTGACAATTTATATTATATTCTTTCCTGTAGTCAAATACACATTTCTATAGAACCACTATATGCCAAATAGTATGCTATGTTCTGAGAATACAGGGATAAATCCATAGCCACACTTAAGAAGAAGAGTTTAGGAAACTGGAAAAATACAGTGAAGCCCAAAGAAAAATCAGCCATCGTTACATTTTGCAAAGATAGTGCTGTTAAAGGTTTGATGTGGTTCTTTCAAATATATATTTACATATAAACTTTTAAAAATTTTTTTTTCATTTTCATTTTTTATTCTTTTACATTTATTCATTTTTGAGAGCCAGAGCACCAGCGAGGGAGGGGCACAGAGAGAAAGGGAGACAGAGAATCGGAAGCAGGCTCCAGGCTCTGAGCTGTCAGCACAGAGCCCAACGCAGGGCTCGAACTCCCGAACGGCAAGATCATGACCTGACCTGAAGTGGGATGCTTAGCCAACTGAGCCACCGAGGTGCCCCTTTTTAAAAACAATTTTTAATGTTTATTTATTTTTGAGAGTGATGCAGGGGGAGAGGGGAAGAGAGAGAGAGAGAGAGAGAGGGAGACACAGAATCCAAAACAGTCTCTAGGCTCCCAGCCCAACACAGGGCTCGAACTCACGAACCACAAGATCATGACCTGAGCTGAAGTCAGTGTTTAACTGACTGAGTCACCCAGGCACCCCTAAACCTTTTTTAAATGAACGGGGGCTCATACTGTATAATTTTAGACTTTTTTTTCCTACCTAACTCCACTTAGCACTATGCCATGTACATTTTCCCTTAGCACAGAGTTTGAGTGGGGGAGAGACAGAGAGAGAGGGAGAAACAGACTCCTAAGTGGGCTCCAGGCGCTGAGCTGTTAGCAGAGAGCCTGACGCAGGGCTCGAACCCATGAACTGTGAGATCATGACCTGAGCCGAAGTCCGAAGCTTAACCAACGGAGCCACTCAGGTGCTCCTGTGCAGGGTTACTATAGGGCTCTTTTATTTTTATCATAAAATAGTGCAACAGAAATTTAGAATGCCGTAATAAATACCAAGTATTGCACACAGGATTAGCAAGTTTTGATACTGTTTCTTATTTGAGTTAATTTTTTTGAGTTTATGTCTTTTCTTTATTTTGAGAGAGAGAGAGACAGAGAGACAGAGGCAGAATCCCAAGCAGGCTCTGTGCTAACAGCACAGAGCCTGATGTGGGGCTCAATCCAACAAACCGTGAGATCGTGACCTGAGCCAAAATCAAGAGTCAGGCTCAACTGACTGAGCCACCCGGGCGCCCCTTGAGTTAATATTTTTGAGAAAAAAGTACACATTTTAAGTCCTCTCTTCTATCACACTATCCTATCCTTTCTCCCTCTGTAGAGACAACCACTACCCTGAAGTTAATGTGAACCCTTCCCAGCCATGCTTTCAAAGCTTACGGTGTGTGTAAAATATTAAATATGCTATCTATAAATAATTTATACAGTAAATGTGCAAGTTTTTATATTTTATAGAAATGGTTTCATCCTGCACACATTCTGAAGCCTGCTTTTTTTTTCCACCCAGCATTTATGCAGTCTTCTCATGTCGATTAATTTAACTCCGCTACTCCCTTGTGTAAATACACCAACATTAGTTATCTATTCCCCGTAGATGGTCTTTTAATTTATTTGCAACTTTCTGCTACTACAAGGCTGCAAGGCTGCAGTGAACACCTTTGTAGTGGCCTGTAGACACAATTGCAAGTATTTCTCTAGGTCACGTACCAAAGAGTGGAACACCTGGGTCCTAGGGTGTGTGCGTGCTCAACCATTCTGAACGTGGCTGTGTTGTTTTCCAAAGCTATTCCACCGAAGTACCTTCCCACAACGCTGTTGTATGAGCGTTTCCTTTTGTTCACATCACTGCTAATGCTTGCTATTATCGGCCTTTTTAATTTTAGCTGTTATGATGGAAATGAAACAGTGTCTCATTTGGGATGCAATGCTCATTACTTTGATGACTATAGTTTCACATGTTTATTGTTTTTTTTTTTTTAATTCCTCCCTCCTACATTGCCTGTTCATAGCCTTTGCTCATTTTTCCATTGGAGCAGATGTGCTTTCTTATTTGTTTGTGGTAGCTCTTTGTATGTTCTGGATATAATCCTTATCTATTACGTACATTGCAAACATCTTCTCCTGGTTTGGGTTTTTCTTTTCATTTTGTCATTTGTCATCAGAAGTCTTAGGTTCTTAACATAACTGGAGGACTACGGTGGCCTTCTCTGTTAGGATTTGCTCTCTTTGTGGCACGTTTAAGAAGTCATCTCCTACAACTTGTGTACACATGAAGTCTTGTTTGTCACAGGTCCTTGATCTACCTGAAATGTATTGTTTGTGGATGGTGTGAGGTAGGATCTGATTTTGCTTTTTCCATATGGATAGTCAAATGATTGCTTATTAGGTAACTGCAATTGAAAATGTATATATGAACATGAAGAGGGAGCATAGGACAAGCTGAGGGCAAAGCACAAACTAGCATACCCATGCCCCACCCCCCTCCCCCCAGGTGGGATGTGTGTCCCCCGCAGGTAGGATGTGTGACATTCCTGGCTGCCCAAGAACAAAGGAGAAGACAGACAACAAATGGTTAAACTGATAGAGTCACCATCG